CCATAACACTAAAATCATTTTTATACATATGAATTCACAATTCATGGCATACTCAACACTAAATCAAGGTTTATAACAAATATTTTGTCATCAAACACATAATAAGCTTTTGCTAAAGAAAATACATGAGATGCACGATATAAATGCGAGAGAGATGAAAATCCCACCCTGAAATCAAGAATTCCAAGCCAACTTTCTAGGATTTCCAATAAAATCTCAATCTTCAAAAACCTTCTTCTTCTCTTTTCTTTTTCCCTTTATCTTCTCCTAAAGTTCTAAGAGGTTTTGGCTGAGAGTGGAATGAAATAATGAAAAAAAAGGGGCTGAAATATGGGTTTTAAAGCCAGTAATCCTGATTTTTTACTGTTCATGGGCAAAAAAAAAAATATTTTTCTCTGAAATTACGGTTTTACCACTAAACATTTCAATTTGATCCATATGACTACTCTAAGATTTTTCGATGTTTTGGATTCATTTTTAATGTTATTTTAACCTAAAAACATTTAGTTTTATGATTTATCTCAAAACTAAAGTTAATTTATACCTGAAACACTAAAATTACTATTTTATCCATTCGAACCGCTATATAAGCTAAACGTCCATTCCATGTTTTTTTTTTCGGACCTCCTGGATTCAATTATAATATTATTTTGACCTAAAAAAATTAATATTTTTACTTTGTTACCCTTACCAACCTTAAACACCTCTAAAAATTAAATTTGATCCAAAAGTCAATATGTTCATGCCTCAAACTTACGCAACTATTCCTGTTACAATGATTCGAAGTTTCTCTCATCATTTTTAAAATATTAGCAAGTTAATATCATTTATATTTATAAAACACGCAAGATCTCACAATTTTGTTTCATGAATTTGTATATGTGTTGATGCAATATTGCATAAGAAAAAACAATTATGCATTTACAAATTTTGAGAATTTTTCAATGTGGGGACACATTTTGTTGGGAAATTTATTGTTATTTAGTTGATCATCTATATGCTTGCATTTGAAAATTTTGAAAAACATGATAAATGTGGGGGTTGATACTGAAAGGATTCCAAATGTGGAGGTATATAAAGCGGGGTAAAACTCTGTCGGAAAAAAAAAATTTGTTTGTGTGGGACAAATATAAAACGTTCTAAGTGATACTCGATGAAATTGTAGAGAGTGGCTCCTAGTAGATTAAAGACTACTGACCTAACTAAAAAGCGGTTCCTAGTAGATAGAAGACCGCTGGCCATAATTACGAAATGGTTCCTAGTAGTTTGAGACCTACTGACCATAATTGAAAATGGTTCCTAAGAAGTGAGAGACTACTAACCACAATTTAAAAATAGTTTCTAGTAGTAGTCTATTGGTCACTTTTGTGATTCCTAATAGTAAGACTATTGACTATACTAGTTGGGATTCAAATATGTTGGCTTCATTAAAAGAAATATTGGACCCTCTTGTTCTAACTGTTAATTTGGTGCCTCGATTCAAATAAAAGACTATTTATATGATGGGTCCATGATTTATATGGTTCTGGGATATTCAAATGAAATATATATTGTTGGATAGCTGACCTGAGAGGTCATATGAGATTTGGAACTATAAGAGTAGACTATATCTTGTTAAAAGACTAGCAAAAGTTAGTTCAAGATTCATCGAGAAAAATGGGACTGAAGCCTATAAGTTAGTCATCATAGTGGACACCTGACCTCTGTGAATGGAGATACCATGAAGGGGGTTCAATAGGTAAGAACGAAGTTGTAGAATGACTATGGTTAGTATTGAAATTATAATAGGGAAATTCCTTATTCCCATTTCTAAGGTGACAATGCTTAAAACTATGATAATAATAAAAGGAAGAGTAAATCTTTGAATGAGACCAAGGCAGGATTTTGTATGGTATTGATCACAAAATACTCTTGGAGGGCTCACCTATATGTATGTTTGTAGTGAGGCCGCTAATACAAGATATAGGCTAATCCCTATTAGAACATACATGAAAATCAAGATACACGTGCATGGCCATAAAGAGCGCAAAACTAATTAGAACTTGATCTAATACCTGTACCATGCGTTTGACAAGTAGAAAACTGAACCAAAGAATCTAGTTCAAGACTAGTCCACTATGATTCTTTTAGATGGAAGCTTGTTAGGCTAAGTGAAGGTTCTAGTTCGAAAGACACCTATCATCCATTGCATGGTATTGTTGCCCAAATTTAATTTTATTTAATTTCCTTTTAATTTTAAATTTTGTGGGGGAATTGTTAGAATAATTTAATATTAAAATAAAAGTTTTGAATAATTATTATGTATACCCCACCCCAATAATGTTTTCATTATTTATATTTTCATAGGATTCTTTCAAAAGGGTTACATATGTGTATATGTGTGTATATATATAATAGTTTAATATATATGTGTCATCATCAAGCTTTATTAATATTTTTAATGTGTATTGAAGTTTGGAGTAATGACTCCAACCTAGCCGTTCGAGATCAGCCTATATAAGGCTACCACTAAAACTCATTTTGTAGAATTCTTGATGAAGGAGATACATTATTTTCTATATTTCTCCATACAAAATATTCGTCTATTTGTGGTATGATTTAAATGTGCTTTTTTGGACAACTTGGACTGTGATTGTTCACAATAGAGAGATTCACACCTGCACCGTAACTTCTTTGGGATTGCTCTGTCTTGAAAAAATAACGTCAAAATACTCTGTGCAGCGGGGGGCGTATCTCTTTTTAGTACAATGCTTTTGGCGTGCCTGAATCTAGGCTATTCTAAACTTATCTTTATATGAATTTTTATTATGTTCATTGTTATTTATTTATATGATATTAAAATCTTCTTATGAAACATAAGTCCAAATAATTCTTTACCAACATTATAAATTAAATTATTTCCAACAGTGAATTATATGCGAAGAAAGCAAATATAAAGAAAGGGAAGATGTAATGGTTGAATTAGTATGTAGTTGTAGACCTGTAAATTTCTTAATAATAATGGGTATATTTTCCTTTTATAACCATGCAAAATGACATAATCGGAGTATTAGTTTCTTACTTCCTTTAAGTTAAGATCGATGTTAGAAGTTGTGAGTATTTATTTGGGGACAAATTGATTTAATTTCAGTATACTTTTATTTATTATATTTCTAATGTTAACAATTAATTAGGTCAAATTTTGTGCTTATTAGTTGTTTTATTTTTCATTTTTTTTTTGCTTGAAACTGGGAGAAAGCTTCTTATATAGCAAAGACAAAGAAAAGAAATGTGGAATAAGAGAACCACCATGGAGTCTCAAAATAAGAATAATGTTTTCTAAAAATCAATTATTTATTGTGTTCATGTTTAATTTTTGCTTGAAATTAAGTCAAAGATATTGTTCTACATAATATAGATGACAACTGTATTGTAAATATTTTATGTCCCAAATTATTTGTAGAGACCTGAGTAATAGCATGGAAGATCCAGATGGGACATGAACAAGTGATGCCCAATGTATTGAGAAGTTGCAGCAGAATTCCTCATTTGCACAAGAGAAGGGACCATAAGAGACCAAGTGCAACTTGGATTTATGTTTAGTTTTGTCCATGATTTGACAATACAATTCATGTTCATCTACAACATGGATATGACTGCTTGTAACAATCAATTTTTATTGGGTTGCCCATTTATGTAGGATGCCATCATTTTTCAAGGAAACTTTCATGGGGGTTCTTCCCTCAAGGTATTGGCGACATAGTGGAGATGGTTATGGTAGTGCATGGTTATTGCAAGCCATGAGTGAAAGTTATTTGTTTTTCCTAATCTCTATTTTTGTTGTTTTTAATTTGTATTCATGTTCGGATTGTACTAATTATGATTGTTTACTTCTGATTTGATTTTTATTTCTTTGTATATGGAATGATAGAATTGTGATTGTATTTATTTTAATTTTATTGTTTGGATTATTAGTTCTATATTTAGTACTCATAGAGGGTGAGATTTTTTAGATTAAATTATGCCCATTTTTTTTGTAAATAATTAAGCCAAGAAAATTATTTGGTCCCTTAAAGTGAATTATGTGCATCACTTTTCTTTTGCCTATGCTCATTTTTTTTACTTGTCAATTTTTCATTATCCATTATCTTTATGCACGGACAAATTTGTAGACGTATAATATTTGAACCCTTCAACTTTAAAATGTTATATTTAAACCAAAAATACCTCAATTAAAAGATAGAATATTAAATATTTTAATTTTTACAGCTAAAATTGATGTTCTATCATGATATTTATTGAAATAAAATCAAAAATATAAATATAAATTTTCTTAAAAAATCATAATTAGTATAAAATTATATTATCTATTGGAATTTAATTTGACTGTTTAAACGACCAAATTACCCTAATTAAAGTTAAAAGATATTGTGTCAATTACAGTTTAACATTTTGTTTGATTTTTTATTCCAATAAATAGTATATAATTGTATACTATTACGATTTTTTAAGAAAAAATTAGATTTTTATTTTTTATTATAAAATTCATGTTCTATTATCAATGATTTAGATCTGTTGCTTATTTTTTAGTTTTATTCTAATAAATAATATAATTGTATATTAGTTACGATTTTTTATGAAAAAATTAGATTTTTATTTTTAATTTTATTTCAATAAATGATATAACATAACATAATTTAAAAACATTTTGACCAATTGAGTGATAGTGGAATGAGTCCCATCATTAAATGTATTATCTATCAATTCATTGGTCACAATATATTATATTTCCAAATAAAGTCCTATTCCAATAGCATAAGTGAAAAAAAAGGACCGAGCTGCACGACTTGTTTGCTGGAGCTTTTATTTTCTAATTTCGGAAAACGTACACGGCGTCGTTTGCAATTTGCAGCGTGGTCACTTTTCCCTCCTATATTTTGATCTCCCTCTTCATTATTTTCTCGCGCTCCGCTTTCCGTCTCGCTCTGAATCTCCACTCTCTCCCTTCATTTTCAAGAGAAATGACGGGCATTTTAAAGCCATCGGGTTCGTTCACCATCACGCCACACAAGGTCTCCATCTGCATCCTTCTACAAGTATACGCTCCGCCTGCTCAAATCTCAGTCCCATTCCCTTTCTCGTCTGTTGCCCAGCACAACCGCCTCGGCTTGTTCTTATTAGCGCTCACCAAGGTACTCTTATTTCCTCTTCATTTATAATTTTTGGTTTGCGGTAAATCTTATTACTATACTGTAATAATGCTTTTTTTTCTTTGGGGGGTGTCAAATTATTATGTTTTGTAGTCATGTGATGATGTTTTGGAGCCAAAGCTTGATGAGCTTATGACTCAATTGAGGGAAATTGGTGGCTTACTGAATCATTGGTTAAGTGATCATTTAACTCATAAGTTGTCATCATTTTCGGCGCCTGACGACTTGTTTAACTTTTTCAGTGATTTACGAGGTATGTTAATTATCGTGCTTTTTCTCATTCAAATGCTCTTAGTTGTTCTTTGATTTGTGGGTTTTCAGCTTGGGAAAATTATGGGTTTCATTGCTCAATTTAGTGATAAAAGTGTTGCACTGACTCTTCAAGAATGCCTAAAGGTTTGGTTTGTACTCAATCCACCTCTCTCGGCATCGTGCTCGATTAATCGACCAAACTGGGTAATAACCCTTTCCTCCCTACGTAGGGCTATTGTCAGCTGCAGTAGGAAGAGTTCTTGGGTTGGCAACTGGGTTTGAAGACAAGAGCAGTGTGTGCAAATAATGTCAAAAAGATTGGACTGTAGCCAGTCCCCTTTAAAGCATTCTATGGGGACCAAATTAGATTTTGACCACGTGGCTCGTTGTTTTTTGAAAATTTTTATAGTACCATCTATAGATGATTGACAGTTTGGTGATTCTGGGTAGGCATTCTTGGGGGCCCGGATTCGAGCGTTTTGGATGATGATCTGATCATGTTGGATCCCAGTAGCAACCTTGGAATGTTTCTCCGTCGTTGCTTGCTTGCCTTCAATCTTTTGGTGTTTGAGGTATTACATATGATGAGCCTTTGAAGAAACCACTTATTTATTTATCTTTTGTTTTTATTCATTATCTCTAGTTTTTCCGTGGTCATGACTTGATGCATTTCATATTTAATTTTTTAGCCCCTGATTCTGGCGGCAGGATCCTATCTTTATCGTCAAATTTAATGTGTATTTTACTTGTTCATGATTTCATATCAGGTGCATTCTCAATAGTTTTCCATAATATCTCTAGTTAATGGAGTAGGAAAACTACGTAAAGGTACCTCTAGCTTGTCATTGAACTTATCAGTTGTGACACTTGAAATTTTTGAAATTCTTTGCAGACACACCATATGGGGGCTTAGAATTTTGTTGGTGTTCATATTACTTAAACCCTTTATTTTATGTAATCTTGAGTGTTACTCGATATTTAATTGATTTTATTTATGATTAAAACTTAATAAATAGTCATTTCAATTTCTTGATCTTTTCCTTCCATCCAAAACAAATGCCGTAGTAGTTGAATCATAGTATAAACATTTTAGTTTTTACTTCAAATAATTTGGAGTTGAATCTCTTCGTAATCTAATCATGTCTCAATCTTTAGACTTAGCCAACATCTTGATAATATCTATCAAATCCGAGACTTTCTGAAATATAAAAACCAAAGCTAAGCACCAAAGATTGTACATCAGCGATGGTGACATGATTGCACTTTCCATCTTGATTTAACTCCCAAGTTCATACCGATAGATCTCTGTTAATCTCCTACATTAAAAACAAACTACTTTGTTATCATACATCATTAACAATGCTTCAGCTGCCTCTTAATCTTTTCTTGGGTTCGGTTGGATAGCTTTGTAAAACTCTTGACTTGTATAAACACTAGTGTCAAGAACATGGTTAACACAATTTACTAAACCCTTAACGACCCACGATCTGAAACATCGATCCCAAATAAGGTGGATTTGCGACTCAGATCACCAAAATAGACGATCCCAAATTGCAATACTAACCTTAAATTAATTCGCTTTAGAATATGTAACACAAATATAAAATATACATTAATTGACTACATGTATATAAATTTATAATTATATATTGTTTTAGATAATAGAAAATCAAGCACAACTATAAGATAAATGGTAACTAAGTGTTTATAAATGTTCTATAATATATAATATTGTATAGTAGTGAAAACGATCTACATAAGAATTTCAAAATGAATTACAATCCAGAATACCATATCAGCTAAACCTATCCCTATCGTATAATGTACCTAAGAAAATGTCGTACCATGTACCCGTACCTGTATCTCGTACCAAATCGAACCACGATCCAGACAACATTGGTCAAGAAGTTAACGGAATTTCTCTTAGATAATGTTTCACAAAGAGAGAAAGAGATTATTTTCTCTTGTTAGATAATGTTTTCAATTAAAGCTTTGGTTGCTGAACTGCACACCAGCTGCTCTATCGTATAGTTATATGGTTTTGGTTCCTTTGTTTTTCTGAAATTCACTTTGATACTGAAAAGTTAAGAAAATAAATGAACATAACTAAAGGAGAATGCTAGCTTGTGAAATCACTGTGGTCCTTTAAATCATTTTATTACATTGGTGTCTAACAAACCATGAGAAGACAATAGTGCTTTACTTTTGTTTGTCCTATCTTTGGTTGTTATTTGTGTAAGATCATTCATAGCATCAGTACCAATCCTATCGGTATTGATGTTCTTTGTGCAAATATTTATGTATTGTCAATTGTCAATTTATTTTTCACATTAAATAATTCTTTCATTCAAGAGCAGCTTATTCAAGGAGAATCTCCTGCCACCCCAAAGGAGGAGGTGCAGTAGGGTTCAAGGCAAATGCCTGTATGGTTTTTTTTATTCTTTCTCTATTACCTTTTGATGTAGAACGGAAATGATTAGAAATCACATAATATAAAGAGAAGAAGAAAGAAGAAGGGGTGAAAGGGGTTTACCTCATCCTCGCAAGGAATCGGTGAAGCAACACACAAATCTCTGCAGAGAATACTCAATTCTTATTCATAATCTCTCCAATCAAAATAATTGGGATTACACATTTATTTATAGGCCAAGTTCCCTACTAAAATAAAAATTACTTTCCTACTAAAATACTAAAAAAATTTCATAATCAAACTCTCAAATTCTTATCGTACTAAAACTCTATGATAATTTTCTAGTCAAATTCTAATTAATACTCCTAGTCAAACAAATATTCCTTGACTAATAAAATAATATTAAAACAAATAATAAAAATTCAATTATTCAATTTAAACTCATCCAATCCCTTTTCGATTTCTATCAATTCTCCTCTGCTGAAAAAAACTCTTCTCCGAAGAGTTGTTGTAGCAAGAATACTCCAAGAGAATTGACATTAGAGGGTGAAACACATCTTCAAACCCGATAGCATAGAAGTAAGATTTTCAGATATCACAATGGGAGGAATTTATATCTTGAATCTTTATAACCTTCACACTTTGTTCTAGATAAAAGGATAGTGAGGATGTTGACGAAAAAGTAACAACCCCATCTAAAAAAATCACGTTTGAAACTTGCTTAACTTCATCTGTAGGAACACTCTTTGCCATCGGCTTATCAAAAGCAATTGTTGTAGGATGAGTATAAGTAGAACTTTTGGTCTCATCAACATTGAATAACTTCAGTTTATCGGGATTCAATCGGATTGGAACTGGTGGTATAACTGGAGGGCTGTGTTCAACCACTTTTTGATTGATAGTTGAAGAGACAAAGTTAAAATCTTCCCTAGTTTTGGTTTCACAAATTGTAGCGAGCACAAGTTCTCTCAGTGAATCGATAGACGCTTGAATTGTATCTATTCTAGCATTCATGACCTTTTGTGAATCAACTTGTGCTTGGGATAAAGCCTCCACTTTAGCATTTAATTCGGCATTGGAAACCATCATAATCAAGAGAAAATTCTGAAACTTTTTGGGGTTGACTCTGTAATTTTTTTGGATATATTGGGGATGTTTTTGTAATTCTAAAACTTCTGGGGGGAATATTCTATAATTTCTGAAACTTCTGGTGGTGATTTTACAACTTTTGAAACTTTCTGAGGTGTTTCTGTAATATTTGAAACAACTAGGATGTTGCTGCAATTTTCTGAATCTGTTGGGAGAGTTTTTTTTTTTAAATGTCTAGGCTGATGAACAATACCGTAAACAGTACCGATGAATAGTACTCGTGAACAGTGCCGATGAACAGTACCTGTGAGCAATGCCACAATAAATTTTTTATTTTTTTACGAATCAAAGTTGGGCTTTGATATAAAATTGATGTAGAACGGGAAGGATTAGAAATCATAGAATAGAAAGAGAAGAAGAAAGAAGAAGGGCTGAGAGGGGTTTACCTCATCCTTGCAAGGAATCGGTGAAGAAACACGCAAATCTCCGCAGAGAATACTCAATTCTTATTCATAATCTCTCCAATCAAAATAATTGAGATTACACCTTTATTTATTGGCCAAGTTCCCTACTAAAATACTAAAAGAGTTTCATGATCATGTGTTTCGTAAATTCTCCACGGAGAACCATTTTTATTATATCACTTTCTAATTAAAAATAATTGGGATTATACCTTTATTCATAGGCCAAGTTCCCTACTAAAATAAAAATTATTTTCCTACTAAAATACTAAAAGAGTTTCATGATTAAACTCTCAAATCACTATCCTACTAAAACTCTATAATAATTCTCTAATCAAATTATAATTAATACTCCTATTCAAACAAATATTCTCTAACAAATAAAATAATAATAAAACAAATAATAAAATTCAATTCTTAAATTTAAGATCATCCAATCTCTTTTCGATCTCTATCATTAATTGATGTAGATCGGAAAGGTCTAGAATTCACAGAATAGAAAGAAAAGAAAAAAGAAGAGGGAGTGGAAGGGGTTTACCTCATCCTTGCAAGAAATCGGTGAAGAAACACACAAATCTCCACAGAGAATACTCAATTCTTATTCATAATCTCTCTAATAAAAAAAATTGAGATTACACCTTTATTTATAAGCCAAGTTCCCTACTAAAATAAAAATTACTTTCCTATTAAAATACTAAAAGAGTTTCATGATCAAACTCTCAAATCACTATCCTACTAAAACTCTATAATAATTCTCTAATCAAATTCTAATTAATACTCTTAGTCAAACAAATATTCTCTAACTAATAAAATAATAATAAAACAAATAATAAAATTCAATTCTTAAATTTAAGATCATCCAATCCCTTTTCGATCTCTATCATTCTCCTCGGCTGAAAAAAAACCTGTTCCGAAGAGTTGTTATAGTAAGAATACTCCAAAAGAATTGACATCAGACAGTGAAACACATCTTCAAAACTGATCGCATAGAATTAAGATTTCCCTTCTATGACATAATATAGGATATCACAATGGGAGGAATCTATATCTTGAATTTTCATAACCTTCACACTTTGTGCTAAATAAAAGGACGATGAGTATGTTGATGAAAAAGTAGCAACCCCATCTAAAAAAATTATGCTTGAAACTTGTTTTTCATCTGTAGGAATACACTTTACAATCGGCTTGTTAAAAACAATTGTTGTAAGATGAGTAGAAGTAGAACTTTTGAGCTCATCAACATTGAATAACTTCGGTTTATCACCATTCAATCGGATTGGAACTTGTAGTGGTGAAACTTGTGATATAACTTGAGGGTTGTGTTCAACCACTTTTTGATTAACAGTTGAATTGACAAAGTTAAAATCTTCACTTGTTTTGGTTTCACAAACTGTAGCAAGCACAAGTTCTCTCAGTGAATCGATAGATACTTGAATTGTATCTAGTCTAGCATTCATAACCTTTTGTGAATCAACTTGTGCTTGGGAAAAAGCCTTCATTTTAGCATTTAATTTGGCGTTGGAAATCATATTGATTGGAAGAGAATTTTAAGAACTTTTTGAAAATTTGAAGTTAACATGTAATTTTAGAAAATTCTGGGGCAAAAATATAATTTCTGAAACTTTAGGGGCCAATATGTGATTTCAGAAACTTTTGGGTAGAAACTGTATTTTCAAAAATTTCAGGAGTTAAATTTGTAACTTCAAAAATTTACGCGGTTGGAATTTTTTTTTTTTTTTGGCAGGGGAGCGGGATGAATTTTTAGAACTAGAACACAGGTTGAGAAACAAGATGTCAGACAAGTCTCAAAAACACAACGACAATCGAGAATGATCGAAGTTGGGCTCTGAAACCAAATTGATGTATAACGGGAAGGATTAGAAATCACAGAATAGAAAGAGAAGAAGAAAGAAGAGGGGGTAAAAGGAGTTTACCTCATCCTCGCAAGGAATC